TATATATATATATATATATATATATATATATATATATATATACTATTTTGATTTATTATTTAACACAAGCGAATATAAATATTGCCTAAAATGAAAAATTGACTTAAACTTTGGCTATCAATCAAATGCTTAAAATCCATTTCAATAAAACAGATTTTAACGAATATAGAATGCTGTTATAATTTACTTGTTTTAAATATATACAAATGTTAACATAATATTTCACATTCTTTTAATAATATCATTTGATAAGTTTATTTTTTTTTTTTGTAAAAGTTTAAATGATCAATGTGTTCATGAACGTAGCAAAAATACATAGAAATATTTGCTAAACTATTTTGCTTTTCTATATCGATATTGACGTAAAATATGAGACAACAACGTTTTCATTATTTATTAACGTGAAAAGTAAAAATAGCAATCCTATTTATTGGTTATTGTTTCAAAACTATTATTATTATTATTATATTTTACACAAAAAGTTAGATCACCGACTTGGGACTGTAATAAGTGAGCAATATAAAATAATATAATATAGTATAAGATACTAATGTAAAATGGTGCCCATTAATAGCGACAAGCGGTGAGGGGGGGAAAAAAGAAAAAGAAAAAAAAAAGAAGTATTAACTTAATTAGTAATCTTCTTATTAAAGGAAATAACATGTGATATATATTAGTCAACTGTTATTCATCATCCAAAGCAGTTAATATATTGACTGAATTACATAAGGGCTAAACATTTCTGGCTGATATATATTAAAAAAAAAAAAAAAAAGAAAAACAACAACAACAACAAAAATAATGTAAAATAGAAATGTAGAGTGCAATTGGGATTTTAATACGAGTCATTAAGTTTCATTTGTAAGATAGAAAATGAAATATTTCACATATTGTAATAAGGTCACACGTTAAGGAGAAAAGAAAAGATAAAAAAAAAAAGAAAGAAAACGATGAAAAAGCCAAAGCCATGTCACATCTAATTATCTTAAATATATTGTTAGAGTATCTTGTGCATATCTAGACGTATTGGAAATTTATATCTGTACATCTACGTTAATGTAGAAGAAAGTATATATGAATCATGTATATGTATAAATACGTACGCGCGCGCATTTTCTTATCAAATTATTATTATTATTATTATTATTATTATTATACAATTGCCATTTATGCTTTGTGATTTTTCGTATAAGAAAATGTTCATAAGGGCCAATCAAATTGTTTCTTTTTTTTTTTTATATTGATTTTAATCGTCGGGGAATAGATAATCAAATTAAAATGTTAACGAATATTAATCAATCATTCATTTTCACAATTGATTTTTGTTATCATTTTGTATTACTGCGATATAAAAAGTTATCGTTTGCACATTGTATTTTATAGGGACAAGTATTATTATTATTATTATTATTATTATCATTATTATTATTATTATTATTATTATTAATCATTATCATCTAAATATTTCTATCTTCCAAGAGAAATAATGTTTCCAAGCGATTTCACTTGTTCGTTAGAAATATATAGTTTGTTTATAAAAGTGAGTCGTGCTAATATATATATATATATTTTGCATGTTTAAAAAGTCTTTCTTTATATCTAAATTATTATAACTTTTTTAATCATATATTTAATAATTATATATATATATATATATAAAATATCCTAGCTCCTCATTTATAAATGCGTAACATTAATAACATTTGTTATTTCTTTATTTACAAAAGACTATTTATTAATCATTTATTATCATCTTAAATGCATATTCACGATTCACAAAATACAGGACGTATTTTTCATAATATTTCAGTTCATTTGTTTATTGCTTGGTTTATATATATATATATATAACACCATCCTCTAATCAATAAAACTATCAGATACATTTTGACAGATTTTCGCTTTTTTATTCTTCGTATTTTTCATGATTTAATTTTACTTATTTATTTTTCATTAAAAACAGAAATATAAAAAACAATAACTATATGTATATATATATATAGATGTAATGATTTTAACTTTATGATACAGTTCCAAACATGAATGTAATTGAACGATATATTGTGCGCATCATATTTATTATTATTGTGTAAAATATTGCATATACAGATCTCATTAAATGAAAATCATTCCATTGCGATATACAAAATAAAAATAATTTCTTTTTTTTTTTTTCAATTTGTATACTTAGCTGACGAAAAATACAGATGCAATAAGTAAATCTTTTGTGCATAAAATGGATGCGTTTAAAAACGAAAAAACAAAAACAAAAAAAAAAACAAAAAATATACTTCAAACTTGCAAATTCTAGTAGTAAGTTCTCTATTCAAATTTCTGTGATTATATTTTTCTTACAGAAGATGATCTAGATATTAGATAATAATTATATTATAAATATATATATATATAT